TGACTACACTTATTTGTTACTTAGAAGAGCTTCTAGTCATGGTGGTGGGGTTTGTGGGTAGGGATGGTGATGCAAAACAAAATGAAAAACAAAAATAAAGGGAGAAGAAATATGCAGAATAGGAAAGAAAGTCCAGAACAAAGTAAAGAAGCAGGGAAGTTTTGTTTTAAGCATGTTAAATTTAATATACACTTAGAAACAAGCTGTGCATAATAGTTCACAGTTTTATATCTAATGCTCTATCTCTGTTCTTTATAAACACTGAAGTTTTTGTTTATAAATACTGAAATGTTTATATTTATGTTTATTAGGTTCAAAATATAAAAGAAAGAAATTAAAGTATTATTACCGCCTTGTATAAGAAACTGAAGTACTGAGAATTGAGTGACTTGCCTCATAGAGCCAGGATTAAAAGCTAGGTCTCTAAAACACTTTCCATGGTACCACACATCTACAATTGACAATATTTATTTATATGAGAACTTGTATTTTGTTCTACCTCTTGGATATTATCATAGATGCAGAGGTAATTCAGAGGGCTTAAGTGACTTGACCAGGGTCACACAGGCAGTAAATGACAGAGTCAGGATTTCAACTCAGGTCCCCTTCTAACTTCAAATCCAGTATTTTTCCACTATACTGCCAACTTGGTGTATGCTAAGAAAAGTCTAGTTATATGAAGGGCAAATGAAAAATTATTCTAGCCAAGAGATAGCATTGATCACAGAAGCATGTGGTAGCTTTGGGGGAGGAGTGTGTATGTGAAAGGTGCAGATTTCCGTAAATGGTTCGTTTTTTTTTTTCAGAGGCAAAGACATTGATTTATATGTTTTGATAGATTATGAATTATATCTATTTCAATGTAGAGTTTCACTTTATGTAATGATGACTATTGGCTGTGCTTTCAGAATTTAAATGGTTTCTACAGAATCATTGAGTGACAGAGCTGGAAAGGACCTTAGAGATCATCTAAGCCAACTTTATCATTTTATAAAATCAATCGATCAGTTAAAAAAAAAGACAAAGAAAAACCATTTACTGTATTAAACACCTACTACGTTCATCTAGAGACTGTGCTAAGTGCTGGGGATACAAAAAGAGGGAAAAGGCAGCCCCTGTCCTCGAGGAGTTTACAATCTAATGGATTGTAGAAGAAACTGAGATACAGAAAATGGAAATAATTTAATGAGCTTCAAGCAACTCCTCAGAAGACCTTCAGGTCTTTTGACTCATGATAAGATTTAGAGGTGGAATGGGTCTTACAGATTATTTAGCTCAATTTGATTTTACAGATGAAATTGAGGCCCAGAGAAATTAAGTGATTTGCTTAAGATCACATAGTTAATAAGTGGGAGAAGTGAAATTTGGAGTTAACTTTTCTGATGTTAAATCCAGTGCTCTTTTGGACCACCAATGTTGTCTATCAATCAAACTTTTTAAGCACCACTACGTGCTAGGTATAGCACTATGTGTTAGACATTGGGAATAAAATGACAAAAATGAAACATTACATGATTATTTTGGATAAAACAAGGGAGAGATACAATGTATATACATATGAATAAATATAAAGAACACTCAAGCTAAATATATAGTATAAAGAGGGGTGCTTACATTTGAGGGAATTGGGAAAGGTGATATATAGGGCATATCACTTAAATCAGTCTTTGAAGGGAGCCAGAGATTCTAAAAGATGGACAATGGCAGAGAAGGCATTACAGGCATGGAGGACTAGCTGTGCAAAGCCTCAGACACAGGAGATGTAATATTCTGTTTGAGGAACTCTAAATAAACCAGTGTGGATAGAACATAATACATATGATAAGGAGTTATATGTAAGAACCTTGGAAAGATTAGTTAAAGACAAACTATGAAGAGCTTAAATGCCAAACTGAAGAACTTGTCTTTGATTTTAGAGCTAATAAGAAGGGAGCCATTAGAGCTTTTTGGACACAGGAGTGATATGATGAGACCTGTACTTTAGAAATATCTATTTGGTTGCTATCTGGAGAAGAATTGGAGAGGGGGTAAAATTGAGGCAGGAGGCCAATTGGGAGGTCATTGCAATAGTTCTGGCAAGAAATAATGAGGTCTGAACTAAAGTGAATGTATATATTGGTGGAGAGAAGAGTATAAATTAGGGAGTTGTTGTGGAAGAATAAACAAGATTTGGCAACTGATTGGATTTAATGGACGAGAGAGAGAGAGAGAGAGAGAGAGAGAGAGAGAGAGAGAGAGAGAGTTACC